CTTCCGATCTTGCTGAACCATATCATCTGTTACGATGTTGTGTGTCTGTATTAAGAATATCTGATGGAGTAAGGAAGTTGTGCTAACTGTTATTTTATGACACAGGGCAACTGGTGCTGTGTACCCTTCTCGAAGATAGTGAGTCTTCTTACGGGCACTTAAAAATGCTATTTACGTTTTCTTTGAATTTCCATGGATGTGGTGTTATTTATGCATTTAAGTATTTGAAAATGTCCTTCAATTTACCAAGTAATTATTCTCGTTATAGTCCTTATAATATTAGTTTAGGATTTATTATTTATAAGTATATACGCATGTGTCTGTCTCTATCTATGCAGAGACGCAAAATGCAAGATTGGGTCTCTGTAGTGAGGAATGGATATTGAATTACCCATTTGCAGTTCGTCGATTCTTCTAAGAAATTATCATCATGATATTCAAGTTTCCTTGCCTAAGACCGATAATAGTGTGATTTTCAATTTATCCAATCAACTAATGCGTAAAATACAACATAAATATGTATTCCGAATAATATTTGCCCTGCTGCGAGTACTTAAAACTTTGAATCGAGTTTGATTTAATTGTATGACGAGTCAGCTATGTTCCAGTTCATTTCACTTATATTTATGTATTAATATACTGCCTCTCATGCATTCATAATTTAACTGTGTTTAATTGACAGGGAGCATGGAGGGGCGTGTAGATTATCCTGTCTCACCAGGATGCGGAAGAAAACATAGGAGATGTTTATCGGGTTTGTGGGAGAATGTTTTTTGAAGCATTGACGGAGTAATCTTGTGCCCTGGGCAAATTTAAGTTGCCGGTGCTTTCTCCAAATTCTGTATTAATTTATTTCTCCCTCTGTTACAATTCAGTGTGCTTTCATTAATGTGGGCCTCATTCTGTGGTATTCTTGCATACATTGCATCTGATAACTGCCATTTTTTTGGTGAATGCTTGAAAGATTAATCAACATAGTTTAACCTTTTCAGTTTGCAACCCCTTTATCTGCCCCTTCCATGTCACTATTAGTAATTAAATGTCTGAGGATGGATCAATGTGACACCAGTTTTATGTGTGGATTCAATTAGAGTTGGCCGTTAAGGGATTATTAAACGCTGTATTTTCAAAATTAAGTTATGTTTAAACACGTAATCTTTAGAATCACACAACTTAGTGATCTAAATATAAATTTAAGTGGTTCGAAGTCTTACTGTCATCAATTTAATGAAATAACATTGAAGCATTTATTCGTGATTTAATTCAAAGCTGGATTAAGAGTTAGTTCTTTATTACCAATGTTCTCTAGTTTTCAAATTAAATAATTTTTTATTCTTTAAAAGTTGTAACCATATTTCAGTGGTAGTTGTTAATTGCTGTAACAAAAGCAAATTAAGTTTTGTCCTTAGTTTATTTGATGCGCACTTCGAGGCTCAAGCAATGTTTAGCATCAGCCTTCAGTTGCTATCAATGCCGTTGATATATATATATATATATGGTTGATATAACTTTTTCTATGGATCCTGGTTAAGAACTAGCATTATTTATAGTTGTATTTCTGTTACCTTGAATACGAACACCGTGTCTAAGATATTTTTCCATCAGTTATATAAAGTTGAGTTCTAAATTTGATTTTAGTTCTCTAAACTATTAATTCCTTTATTTTTTGGGGCTAAATTTTGCTTTTAATTGCAATGATAAAAATACGTAGTATCTAAATATATATTAAAGCAATGATATAAGTGTTTTTTAAACGTCTATTATCTAAAAATAAATAAGTATATTAAAACTAGCCTGCTAAGGACGTATGAGAACATTATATGAAATTTCTTTTGCCTTTGGTATCCTTTTTTCCTTTACTTTTTGTCCATTATATTGTAATTGTTAGTTTAACTGTCCTCATCGTGCAAACCATATCACTTCCAAGTTTTAATAATACAATTTGAATTGTAACTAATCTAAAATCAATTCAATAAATTGAGTAGAATTTTATTATAATTAATTTAAAGTGACGAATGTAAATGATATTTCATTCAAATTAGTAGTAGATATATATTTACTTTACATGTTATCTTTTGGTCCTCACTTATTTATTAAAACCTGAAATTCATTCTTTATGTGTACGTATAAACACACTTGACTTATGTTTGGTGGAGGTGATTTAAGTGGAGGTGATTTAATAGGGAGATGTATTAGAGTGAGTCTAAAAAAAATATTTGTGTTTGATAGATGATATTTAAGAATTGTGAGGAATTAGAAATGAGTTTCACATCATTTTTTATACCCTCTTCATTAAGGGGATTTCTTGTGGATTTTGAAAAATGTGTAAAATTGCATAAAATAAAAACATCAATTCTAACTATATTATAAAGTGAAGGTAAAATAATAATTATAAATATCAAATTCACTATATTTTTCACTTAATTTTACTCTACCAAATAATTATAAATTTCATTATATTTCACTGAATTTCTTACCTAATTCCTATTAAATTAATTATCATTTATTTTCTCTTGTTTTCTTCTATTGTTTCCTCTACCCCAAATAAAGGCTTAAGGTTCAAGTTAAGGAACTCCATTGAAGATATTAAACAAAAGTTATCTTTAGACTAATGAGAAAGATGAAATACATATTTAAGAATTATTTATTTTATTTAATCAACTTCAAACGCTAGTATGATAATATATACCAAATTCAGAGTAAATTCGGATACAATTTATGTTAAGACACACAAAAGATAACAAACATGTGTCATGTTTGCACTAATGAAAAAGATGAAATACACATTCAAGATTTTTTTTATTTCAACATATTTGGATGCTAATATAATAGTAGATGCCAAAATCATAGAAAAAATTGAAAGATTTATAAAATTAGTATTTTAGCCTTCATTCTATAGGATAAATATTTATTTTTATATATAATTAAAATTAATAATAAATTATCTATATAAATGTTATACTTGAATATATAAGTTATATTTAAAATTTATATAAATAAATATTTTTAAATATATTATTTAATTGTAACTGATATTTTAACATGTATATTTCTTAAGTTGAATATTTATTATATATGACTAAAAATTGTAATAAATTACATATAAATGAATACTAGATTTAATATTATTATAAATAGATTTTTAAATATATAAATTATATTTTATATTTAAAATAAATAATTTATAGTGGCATAAAATTATTTTTAATTATTGATAATTTATTTTTAAAATATTAAAAACTCAAATAAATATAATAAATAAAAATTTTATTTGATAAGTTAAAAAAAAATTAAATACGCTTTTGTCATACAATAACTTCTTAAAATGTTTTCAAAAATTAATGATTTACATTTAATATGAGTTTTCACATTCAACCGTAAATATTTTAAAATAATCTTTATACACCTGATTCTTTCAAACATGTGATACATAACCTGAATAAATGATGTGTGTGCCACATAAATACTTAATATTACATGTATAATGCTATTGTTAAAATTAACATGAAATACTTAAAGCATTTTTTGAGAAAGTTATGAAATTAAATTATCTCAATAATCGATTATAATCAAAAACAAATTTTTGTTTCGTTTAGTTGACTAAAAAATAAAATTTAAAGTATTTAATTTCATTTTGATACATTAAAAAATCAACTTTATGTAGTTTACCAGTTTCAAAAGAAAAAAAAATGTTGAAAAATAACCATAATCTTCAAATCTAAATTTCAAATTTTAAAATTCTACAAACATTTAAAAAAAAAAGCCATCTATAAATTTAATCTAACTTAGGAGACATGCAGATTTTTTTTTGAAAAATAACTTATTTCAATGAAAACATCTGAAAATATGAGAAATCATCTTTCCCAAACATGCACTTATAAGGAGAACTAACTTGAATTACAAATTAGTATAAAATCTAGACTATATTTTATTTATTAAATTCAAGAACTGAAACAATATTTGCCCAAATCAAGGACAAGTCGGGGATTCCTCCACATAAAACAAGTGACTTTAAACTTCAAACCTCCAAATAGACGTAAAACAGGGTGTTTAAACTAGTAAAAGGCTAAGAATGGTTCTACCAACAAGTTCATGATATTTTTCTTCCATATGCAAGCAAAAATTACATGCCTAGATATTAGTATTTTACCGAACCTATGTTATTTATCAACTGGTGATAAAAGAGTAAAAATTAGCATCAACATTCTGAAAAAAAAAAAAACGTAAACAGATAATCCAAGAAATAATAAAATGTACTTTCGTTTTTATACTTGATATTATCCGGTTTTCAAAAAGTGATAGTATGTAGAAACAAATGTTGATAGTGTTGTATTCCCAGTATTTTAGCAGCAGGTCTAGATAGTGATTTCCCTAAGACCAGCCATGACCAGAATCTGAACCAGTTTGATTGCTTGAAGGTGTATCTGACAGATTACCAAGTCTGGTTTGAGATGCCTGATATAGGCCACTGGTAGTACCAGGAAAACTTCCCATTGGTCCAGGGATAAGTTGTTGTTGTTGGTAGAGGAAGTGTGGCAGCTTATAGTGTTGCTCATTCATCTGCAGAGGCAACTTTGAAGCAGAAATATCCGGTTGATGTAGAGACATTGCCAAATGCTGCTGCTGATCATTCATCTCAAAGGGAGGGTTCAAGGTTGATACATCTGGTTGTGGCTGAGATATTGCAACATGATGTTGCTGCATGCTTTGCCCCTGTTGCATAGTAGGCTGGGATGAGACCTGCACGTTTTTCACATATGTGAGGGAAAATTATAATAAATTCGTGACTAATGAGCCTAACAACCTGAGAAGGTGTCTGTGCTTGTGTGGCGACATCGGCAAGTTTGGCCAGAAAAGTCAAGTTATGCTGAAGCTTGGCTTGACATCTGTATCAAGATATTCAGGTAATTGTCATACACCAATGCACTTGTTAAATTATTATTATCGTATAAGTAAATGGAAAATCATAGATAAGAATTCAGAAGGCAACAGCAACATTAATACATGATACTTCCAAGACTAACAAATTCAAATACAATAACATCTTAGAATGACTCTTAACATTCATCAAATGAAAAGAAAAAAAAAATTTGGGACATATATAATTCTCAAATTATGCTACAATTTTATAATATATGCTTTAGCATACAATCAGTAAAAAATTGAGAATATTGAGCACTTGCTACAACTTTCTATTTATTAAACAACTGATATACAAGATAACACAATCATGTTCGAAACAAGTGAAAATCAGCTAGTTGTATATATGATTCTCAAGATATTGAATAGAACAATGAAAGAAATATCCAAGTCCTAATTAAATGTTATGCTCTTTTATAGTTTGTTTTGTCTTGTCATTATGTATGGCCATACCAGATACATGTCTTCCATTGGCTCAACTTTTCTCATTAGCTTCTTCTACTCAAAGCACCTCACCTCATGTATATTTACTTTATTTATGAATAAGTTCAATTTTAGCATCAGTTTGGGTTTGAGCTATTTTATTTCTGTAAATTGAGCTTTTGATAGTCCTCTCCTTCTAATCTAACACATTTAAAAAGATGGAACCAAATATATCTGTCACTGCATGAATAAACAAGTACAAAAGTAAAATGGTTCAAACAGAAAGGAACATGATTTCAACAACATCTTTTTGAAAATAAACATGTAATTTTATAATCACACAGTAGATATTTTAAACATGTTATTCAGTAACCAAGGTGTATTATCTGGAGTTATCATACAATTAAATGCTTGCTGCGTACATAAAATACATATTTTAAAATACTTTTTTTTTTCCAATATAAATCTCTGTTTACACCTTAATGAAGTTCCACTCACCAGATTTAATTATATAATAAAAAGCATATATATAACTTGGTAGTCCTGCCTTTTCAAAGGTAAGGGTAAACATACCTTGCAATTTGTCAACTGAAACACAGCTTCACTAATGCATGTACTAATGGCATTACAAAGTGAAATATAATTTCAGGTAGAGAACAACTAAACAGAGATTATATGTTTATGTAAAGTAAGAGGGTTTTCAAGCTAACTCCCATAAAGGACTAAACAGTTTGCAAGAGAATAAAAAAAGTGAAAAGGAAAATGAAGGTGCAACTGACATGACTTGGTACTAGTAAGAAGCAACCATAAGCGACAGAAAATAAAATAACCAAACTACTAACTGCGCAATCTCATTGATCTTTCCCAGATTTTGATATTCCAATATTGCCAAGATCAGTTCCTTATTCTCCTCCAAGTACTGCACCAAGTATAATATGAGATAAGCTGACATAGATACTCAAGTAAATAGTAGTCCTTGCTTCAATTCCTTATGAACAAGATACATATACGCACTAAAACGTATTATGCATTAATCTAACATGACCTACATATCCCAAATTCCTTTGCAAAAGTTCACGGTCCTATGTTACCCAAGAAGAACATACATGACAATGAAATAATTTCTATATAACAATTTTACATTACATGGACACCGAAATGTCATTTTCTAAGGGAGATACGCATACAATTATCGTTGTCACGTTCATTTTATTCAGAAAAATACATAAAGTTAGCAAAATCTGAAAACCAGATTAATTACTTAGGGCACAAGGAAAGACAAAGAGGAGAGCCCCATACACATTTTGTGCCATTCACTAAACATGAAATGGACAAGGAAATGGAAGAACACGTAAAGGTGACATTTTTATGAAACCCCAACACAAACATAGACGCAGAGATAAATCTAGAAGGTTAAACAAAGTAATATGATGATGGTAATGAAACAGAGAAATGAGTGAAGAAAAAGAGTTGGCACCTTTTGAATCTGTTCAGTGGTGATGGTAGAGGCATTAGGCAATGAAGTATCAGCGTTGAACATTTTGCTGCTTCTTCTCTTGAATGAGACAACTAAATGCGAAATCAAAATAAGAAAACCCTAACCCTTCTTCTTTCCCACAAATCACGTACCCAAGTTCAAAGGAGCAGTGCTTCCTGCTCCTTTTGTTTTGGTTTAAACTTTAAAGTATGCGACTCTTCACTTTTCATGCCTTTTGCCTTTTAGCAATAAATTTCTTTAACTATGTTTTTATCAGGTTTATATATATATATATATATCATAAATTTTTTTAATGAGTGATTAATATTTATATTATTAATAAATTTTATTTTATATTTTTTAAAATTTTTTTATCTTTAAATATTATATTACTAAATGTTACATCATTTATTTAAATTTAAATAAATGTTAATATATAATAATTAATAAATATAAACATGAGAGAAAAACCAAAATTTAATAATTTTAAAATTAGAGAATTAAAATGTCTATTATAAAATAGAGATTGGAATAACTAGTTTAAGAAAATAGAGAAATAAAAAATATAATTTAGTCTTAATATTAATATCGATAAAATAAATTAGAAATGTAAAAATCAAATACAATGAAAACCAAATATATTTTGTGCTTTTATTATTGATTTTTCCTCCATGAGTTCTGTGAGTATATTCGAATGTTCATCAAGACTTCTTAACAAAGACTTATACAATTAATATTTATAGGAAGATTGGAGTGTATATGAAGGTGATTGTTTCTTTCTAATTAAGTTTATATATATAGGAACAGAAGATCATTTATTTAAGTCACTTGCTTTAAATATCATTCGAACTAATTATTTGATTGTAATTTACTTTTGATTTTGTATATAAAAAAATTATGTTATTATAAAGAGTACAATTAATCTTACAAGAAGTAAATTCTTTTATATTAACTAAAATTATTTTATAGAACTTATAAAGTTGTTTTTTTTCTTCCGGGAATTCCAAATTAATAAAGTTATTGAACTTTACGCTACAATTAAAACATTATCACATTTTAAAAATAAAATTAATTCTTAACAATTTATTTTTAAACTCCTAACCCTATATGTAAAATATTGTGTGAAAGTGTTTTTTTAATTTTTTTTGGAAGAGAGGATTTTTAAAGATTATTTTAACTTATTGTATAATTCTATTTTTCTTTATCATAATTATTTATAAATTTAATTTGAATATTTAAAAAAAAAAATCAATAAATAAAAATAATCTTATAATATAGTACAAATTAATTGTCAAAATTTTAAAATATAATTTATATATTTAAAAATATTTATTTATACAAATTTTAAATATAATTTATATATTGAAACATATAATATTTATTTGTATATATAATTTATTATAAATTTTAGGTATATAATAAACATTTAGCATTGTGCATATAGATGAGAATATTTCAAGTCAGACCAAATTTTATTTTGTCTATGGACATGATTTACGCAATGTTTTAAAGCTAATTTGCATTCGTGGAACATGTTAGGAATATGTGAATAAATTAGTAATATTTAGATTTAATCTATTTTGATTATTTTAGGATTTCTTTTCTTGTTTTTAGAATAAGATAATATCAATATTTGATTTTGTATGACAATTTTTCTTTATAAATAGAGACCTCATGAATAAAATTAAATTATATTCCTCTGATAAAAATTATATCTTTACAAAATACATAAAAAAAATAACCATCAGTAGTATCAGAGCCATAGGTTGGATTCACTTGTTTGAGGGGAGGATTGTTGGGATATAAACAAGTCTCACATCGATAGAATAAGGGAAGAAGTAACAACTTATAAAGCACACATATACTCCAATAATTGAGAGACCTTTTGGGTGATGACCAAAAGTAAAACCGTGAGGGCTAAATCCCAAAGCGAACAATATCTCATCATTGTGGAGTTATGTGTGAAATAACTTTATAAAAATAACCCCTCAGACAAATACCATAAAATAACTTCATCATTGGTATCTAGAGTTAAGGTTACGACTTGTGGAGATGGGAGTAGAAACAAACTTTTCACAAATTTCCCTACCTATTTTTGATGGAGAAAGTTATGATCTTTGGGCGGTGAGAATGGAGGCATTCTTAGAAGCTTTAGATCTCTGGGAAGTCGTAGAAGAAGATTATGATATTTTCTCATTGCCAGACAATCCTACTGTATCCTAAATGAAAATTCACAAGGAAAGGAAAATCAAGAAGGCAAAGACAAAGGCAAAAAGTTGTCTCTTTACCTATGTTTCACAAAATGTTTTCACCAGGATCATGACTCTCAAATTGGAAAAAGCAATTTAGGATTATCTAAAGGAATAATATGCTGGAGATGAAAGGATTCGAAGCATGCAAGTATTGAATTTAATTAGAGAATTTGAGTTATAAAGAATAAAGGAGATTGAGACAATCAAATAATATTTAAACAAATTGCTTGGCATTGCTAATAAGGTATGTTATTAGGAACACAATTTCTTGATTCTTGAATTGTTGAAAAAATTCTAGTAACTATACCTAAAAGATATGGAACTTCTATAGTGGCTTTAGAGAATACAAAGGATCTGAATAAGATCACTTTGGTAGAGGTGTTACATGCATTGCGAACATTAGAACAAAGGAGGCTTATGAGACAAGAAAGAACTGTGGAGGATGTATATTTAGCCAAATGGAAGAACAACAATAGTGACAAAAGCAAGAAGGAATTGTTGCAAAAGAACATTCAAAATAATAACACTCAAATTTTTCCACCATGTACTTATTGCAAAAAGACTAATCATCCACAACAGAGATGTTGGTGAAGACCTAATTCAAAATGTAACAAGTGCGGACAATTAAGACACCTAAAATATGTATGAAAATCTCATGAGTAATAAGAAGAAGCCAACATTGCTGAAGATTAACAAGAAGAGGAAGAAGAACAACTACTTTCAATGTCATGATTTACAACCAAAAAACTCTCAAAAGCTTGGATTATTGATAGTGGTTGTACAAACCATATGACTTATGACCGAGAACTCAATAAAACTGATATCTCTAAAGTTCAAATGGGGAATGGAGCACACTTTGCAGTAAAAGGCAAAGGAATAATTGTTATTAAAAGTCATTTAGGTTTGAAATTAATATTTGATATTTTATACGTTCTTGATATTAATCAAAATTTGTTGAGTGTTACTCAGTTGTTGGGAGAAGGCTATAAAGTGTTATTTGAAGATAAAAATTGTGTGATTAAAGATATAAACAAGAAATAAGTGTTCAATGTTAATATGAAAGATAAGAGTTTTGCTTTAAATTTAGAGAAGGAGGAGCTAATTATAAATGAAGATACAAGTGAAGAGTACAAAGATGCATGTCTTCAAAAGAAGTTTGATGATCAAGAGGAGAGTGAAGATGGTGAAAAACCACCTTCAAAAGAGAAGTTCAAGACAAATGCTAAAGTGGTCCCCACTTAAGAAGGATTGCAACAAAAATCACAAAAAGAAGAAACCGATCAAAAAGAGAAAAGAACTTTTGAAATTCAAATTTAAATTAGGTGATAAAAATATTCGGTTAAGGAGGAGTGTTAAGAATATGCCTAAATAATATCTTTAGGAGAATAAATTAGTTTTTGATAAGAATCTTTTATTTATGTTTCAGATATTTAGATTTAATTTGTTTTGATTGTTTTAGGATTTGTTTTCTTGTTTTTAGAATAAGATAATATCAATATTTGATTTTGTATGACAATTTTTCTCTATAAATATATATCTCCTGAACAAAATTAAATTATGCTTATCTGATAAAAATTATATCTTTGTAAAATATAAATATAAAATAACCCATAAAGACAAACATAGTTTTTGCTGACCAAGCATTTGAATATATAAGTCAAGTATGTTCTATAAAATTAAAGTCCAAGCCTAATCAATTATCTATCATAATTTTTTTTATAGGTTGGACTTTTAAAAAGTCTAATCTAACCTAACTTATTAACGTATTTAAAAATTAATTTTATATTAAAAATATTAAATAAGCTAATAAACTTAATTTTAAACAAGTCAACAAATAAATTTTTAAACACGTGTGCAAGTCTTTTTTAATCTGCATGATAGAAAAAATAGTTTACTACTATATTATTATTGAAATTTAGAATTTAAAATAAAAAAATTAACATAAAAATGATAACTTATGCACACTCATGTACTCTAATTCACACAAGTGTGACGAAAGAAGATAATTTTATAAAAAAAAAACTTTCTAAATATTTTTTTATATCTTATTTAAAATATTCTAAAAAACAATGAAGGAAAAAAACAGGTGAAATTTGTTGAATCCTAAATGGTTTTAATAAATGACAAATCCTTACTTCCAAATGTTGGAAGAGTAATCAATGATTTCTAAGTGTTTCAAACTAAATGTATTATATCTTCTAAGATTTATTGTTTAAAAGGACACTTAGAATCAAAGGCAACTATCATTGATTATTTTTGTTCCTCGGTCAAAGGGCTCCATATTTATGCATTAAGGATCTCTAAGTATGAACATCTTCTCTTAGGGAAAATACCATGAGGAACCTCAATCATAGTATCTCTAGTAGAGCTTCCCAAGTAGCAAATCTCAGTTCAAACTCAACTTCTTAGAAGACTAATATTGAAGACCATATTTAAAAGGTTACGCAAAAGCACACTTAGAATAAAGCTTCAGAAGTAGAAAGTTTCAGTTCAAACTCAGTTTCTCAGAAGACTAGTACTAAACTTGTTCGAAAGGTTACTCAAAAACACACTTAGAAGGAAGCTTTAGAAGTAAACTACTTCGAAAGGATATGCTGACAACACCAGAATAAAAGCATAAGATGATGTCATCATTGCTTAAAAGTTAAGCCAACTCCAATAGACCTATTTTGGAGTCTATACAAGGAAGACCAAAGGAATTGTTTGAAGGAAGAAAACCATCAACATACAAGCTAGCATGACTGATATACTTGCTTCATACTCCATTTTTTAGAGATCCCATCTTCTATATTTGGAAACATACTTGTAATAGAAAAAAAAATGAGAATACTTTTTGGTGGAAGCTGCTATCGTAAGAGAGTTACATAGAAACCTTTAATAGTTGTTAAGGTTTCTCAAATCTATAATACATTTGATTGTCCATTATCGAATTTGTTATGCAA